CATTCCTTGAGGTAGTCATGGAACTCGATACTAAGATACTCTCCGCCTCTATCTGATCGGAGCATCTTTATCTTCCTTCCCAATTGATTCTTGAATTCATGTTTAAACTCTTTGAACTTTTCAAAGGTTTCTGATTTATGTTTGATTAAGTAAATATAGCCATATCTACTATAATCATCTGTAAACATTACATAAAACTGATTTGCATCCCTTGTGGCGTATCTGAAGGGCCCACACACATCTGTGTGTATGAGGTCCAACAAACCTTCACCTCTTTCACAAGATCCAGTGAAAGGTGATTTTGTCATATTACCCAAAAGACAAGATTCGCATGCATCATCTGGCCTTAGGTTAAATTATTCCAACACTCCTCCTTTTGGAGTTGGGCCATGCGTTTCTTGTTAATGTGTCCAAGACAAAAATGCCACAAGCATGTTTTGTCTATACCATTAGACGAATCAATTTGAAATACACTATTTCCTAAATTGTCTACACACATCACAATTTCATACACACCATCACAAGGTAAAGCTTCAAAATAAAAAATACCATTCTTATAAGCAGAAATTGAACCATTCAAATCATTAAAATAATATCTGAAACCTTGTCTGAACAATGCATGAAAAGAAATAATGTTCCGTGTCATTTCTGACGAGTAGCAACAATTCAACAAATCTAAACTAACACCATCACTAAGCACTAGACTATAAACTCCAATCTTGGTAATAGGTGAAGATCGCCTATTCCCCATGATCAAGTTTATCCTACCGTGCTCCACTTCCTTATTTCTTCTTATCCCCTGCAAATCAGAACAAATGTGAAATCCACATCCTGTATCAAGGACCCAAGAACGAGAAGATGATGAGTTATTAGATTAAATAATGTATATACCTGCAGAAGTTGGCTTCACTTTGCCATATTTAATATCTTGCAGATACTTCAGACAGCGTCGATTCCAATGCCCTTTGTCGTTGCAGTAAAAGCAAGTGGCCTATTTGGGATCGGAGACAGGAGGAGCATCAGAACTGGATTTACCTTTGGGTCCATTGCTTGACGACCCAGATGTGAGACTTTACCTTCCAGTTTTGCTTTGGAGGACCTTTCCTCTTCTTCCCCTTCCTTTGACCAATGGCCAGAACAGGAGCACTAGCAGGAGTGGAGGCAATACTCTTTCCCTTCATCCCTGCTTCAGCTGTTCACAGGAGGTTGTGCAATTGAGCCAAGGTGGTCTCATTATTGTTCAGATGATAGGTCAAGATGAACTTATCATAACAACTTGGTAAGGAGTTCAAGAATATATCGATATTCAACTCCTCATCAAAATGCACATTAAGCCTAACAAGGCGATCCACGTATTGTTTCATCCTTTGTACGTGGCTGCTAACAAACTCTCCCTATTTCATTTTTCTTGCTATGAGGGACTTTACCACATCGTACTTTTCTTGACGATCTCGCTTATGGTACTTTTCCATAAGGTCCTTGTTCATCTCGTACGGCCGGTAATCCTCATAGAATCTTTGCAACTTAGGAGTCATGGTGGTTACCATGATGCAAGCAACTTTTGTTGCATCATTTTAGTGCTTCTTATAGGCGGTTAATTCTTCAGGAATGGCCTTCTCTTTTTCAATCTCATTTAGTTCTTTCTCAAGGACATACTCCTTGTCCTCGAAATGAAGGGCCATCTTAATGTTGTACATCCAGCCGTTATAGGTGGTGCCATCCAATGTCACCTTCGAGCAGATGTTCAACAACAAAAAGTTATGGGAGGAATAGGAGGAACCAAAAGCATCATTCGAAGTATACATCTATAAAAAGAAGGTAGACCAGAGGTAAAATGGTCATTTTACCCCAAGTATGTATTGTTGGATATAGATTGGAACCCAAATGTTAATTTGAGTGTTATTTTGTATTGATAGCTCGAGGATTCGTCAGACCAACAACCATGGATTTTTCAGTGAGATTCAGCAGTCGAGGTGAGTTTCCTCACTGGGTTTAGCGGGTCTAAGGCACCAATACCGGACCTTGTTATTTATGTTAGGATGCTAGGAGTCTGCGTGACCCTTGTATGTGATATGTGTTGCTATGTATGTCGGGCGAGGCTCGATGCAGGGCAAGGCTCGATGATTGTATCGTATGGTATTGTTTATGATCATTGCATGTGTTAGTATGATTATGTGATATATGTCTATGTGTATGGTGGGCGGGGTCCGATGTCAAGCAGAGCCTAAGAATAACAGATTTGTATACCGAGTGGGGCCCGAAGCCGAGTGAGACTCGATATCGGGCGGGGGCCCAGTAGGTGATTTATTATGTATGGTATGGGGTAGTTTGGGGAACTCACTAAGCTTTGTGCTTACGGTTTTCAGTTTATGTTTCAGATACTTCTGGTTCCAAGGGGAAGAGCTCGGGATGACTGCATCGCACACACCACATGGATTCCGCTTTTGAGATATTACTCTAATTGATTTGATGTTTGATACACTTATTTTCATTTGGTTTGTATATATAATGTTTTTGGAATACTGTTTTAATTAAATCAAAAATGAAATTATTGGATCATATTTTTGGGACGTTACAAGATCTTAGGGGAAACATTTGTTTATAAGTCTTTATTTCGTCATGAAAGTCTATGTAGTACTCAAAGTAAGAACAATACTTGCAGGTTTAGAAGTGGAACACTTTAAATGTCTTGGAATAAGACTTACAGTTCTAAAGTTATATATTTGAATGAAATGAGTGAGGTTGGAAGCTAGATAAGCAATCAAAAAGAAAGTAAAGTTAGTTGACCTAACTTCCCAATGTGAGTACATGTGGTGTTTTTCCCGATTTTGGGGTATATGGCTAAATGATAATTTTTATAATATGAATGATACATGTTAAAATTATTTACAATTATTTGAGCATATTACACAATAGTACTTTTAAACTACATGAATGATTTTATGCAAGTATATGAATGTTCTAAGTTATTATAACTTATGATTATAACTAATTCATATCATGACATTGTGTGTGAATGTCTTGCTAACAACTAGTTTTGTCAAACACTTTTGCATAAATTAAAGCTACAACTTCCAGTTAGTTTTACCAAATACATTCATATTTTAAAAGTAACAATCTTGTTATATTTTAAGGATATATTATAGTGTGTGTAAACACTAATCGAAGGAGAATCAAAGGAAAATCACCATCAAACTTTAGAACTGAAGGTTATTTCTCATTACCTATCATTCTATGGTAAAAAATCACAAGTGGGTTAATCTATTTCAACCCAAAAAAAAAATTAAGGTCTTACATATAAGAGTTAATGGGAGATTTTGGTGGTTTGAGTATGATAACTATGGGACAATGTTGAAATATTGTGAAATAACACATAGTTTTGATGATGATAAAATTTGGTCAAAGAATCCCATAAAATAGTTTTAATGGTGGTCACATGACTACTAGGACATGTTAGAAGCAATATAACACAAGTACCATAAGTGTAATGTCAACCTTAAATAAATAAGTTGCTGAAAATATATATGCAACCAAATTTGTTGTAATTCGAGTATGTTGGTGGACATGTGTTGAATTAGCCTAAATGAACATTGCCCATGTTCCCGTTGCTCTTTGAAAGATGCTAATCTATACAATTACATGTAGTCTAACATTTAGTTTGTTTTAAGTTACATCGTCTTGTTTATTGTTGTAATCTTATTTTGAATATTATAATGTAATATTTACAAAGTTTGAATGAGGTTATTTCAAGTCGTGCTATTGTTATTATTATATATAGTGATGTTAAATTTATCGTAAAAAACTAATATATTACTTAAGAGTTGTTATAGATATTTTAATTTATGTTATAACTTCAAAATGAATTTTATATAATTTAATAATAGTGAAAAAACTAAAATGAAAGGGAAGAGCCCAGGATCGATGGGTTAAAGACCAATAAGAGCGAGACAGGTTTTGATCCTTTTGGAATCGATATCTTGAAACCGGGCTTTTGGGCCCAGAGCGGGACCCGGTTAGGCCCACGCTTGATGCATCTCTGTGTTAATCTCCAACCATGATGAATTGATAAGATTTGTCAAATTCACTATAATAAAGAAAGGTTTTAGAGAAAAGCGAATCCCTCATGTATTGGGGAACAGTCTTGAAAGTTAATAGATGCAAATTTCATTCCCAAAACTCCACCAACCAAAATCCTTTTCTAATTCATGGTCAAACATAGAATTTGAACCTATCAAAATGCAATACATATATTTTTTTTTGGTTAATAAATAAAATAATTAATAATATGTATATTCGACGGCTGAGTTTTTATGGGAAAAAACCCTTTATCATTCGGAAATATTTTATAAAAGAAACTCATGAGAATTTTTAGGTGTTAGTTTTTTTTATGTAATCACACATACCACTCTACATGAAAACAAAAAGCTAAAAGCCTTTAAGTTAGTATTTTTTTTTATTGAAGTTTTTATTTAATTCAAACAATACAAATAATTGATAAAATATACAAATAAAATTATATAATTCTTAACTTTAAGAGTTGATTGTTATGTCTTCTACTAATACTTTTATAATAACCTACAAATCATATATTCAAAATTTACTAATAAATGTTATCCAGTAAATCATCAAATATGTGTTAATAAGAAACAAGACAAAACCTTACCCGATGAGATACAAATAATAAATTCTCAATAAAAAAAAAAAAACTAAAAATTTAAATAAGTTAAAATTAAAAATATCGTATTTGAAGAAAATGAGAGAATGTTACATCCAATAAATCTCCATCATTCAAACACCAAAAAAGAACCTACATTCCAAAAAGCCCTTCACCGTCCTTTAGTCATATCCCCTTATTATATAAAGAAGCGTATCTTCATTCTTCAACAAATTACACACCATTCTTTTCCCCTCCATTTTCTCCACCACCCCTTAATTCTCTCCATAATATTCCCATAATTCACCAACAAAAACACACTTCTAAAACACATACTAAATCCGACATGGCCAACCTAACAAGAACCACCTTGTGGGCATTGATGTTAATGGTCATGGTGGCTTCCGCCATCTCAAGAAACACACCACCACCACCACCACCATCTCCATCACCTCCAGGCACAACCACCAGTAGTAAAGTTGATGACAAGGTGGCTTCGGTTCAACGTGTTGTGAGAAAAGTTCAAGCTTACTACACGGCTTCTTCTGGTCCTAGTGACAAGGGTCGTGGGCATAAGTGAGTGTAAATGGTTCTATCTAATTCTTTTAGATTAAGATTATTCAGTTAGACTTGTTTAAATGGTTGAAACATGTTTTGTACAGTATAAAGATCATAGTAGAAATATGACATGTATTACAATTTACAACAACGAAAGATTTGTCCATTTGATATTGGTTTTAATGTCTCCAAGATAAAAGAAAAACATTTTTTTATTTACGTATCATATGTTTTGTTTTTATGTTGGTCTTGTAGTAGCAATTTCACTTTGATTGTATGATTTATGTTTCGGTTGTATTGAGATCGGTACACATTCATTTGTAATACTATTTGTTTTTATTACTTTGTAACTTTCATTTTTATGTATCTTTTTAAGTACAAAAAATATATATCACAACTTATTGAATAGCTAGTTCTTGGATGTGTAATCAAAATATTTTCCCCATAAAACCTCCTCTCATTCAATAATGAATATATATGGAAAACAATACAATAGGCCACATAAGCCAATACAAACTATGGACAAATACAACAATAATAAAGCCTAACAAATAAAATCCATTAACACCCCCCCCCCCCCCGCGCAGTGTGAGTGGGAGGGCATCGAACGTTCAAACTGTTATGAAAATCAAGAAAGAGCGGAGAAGACAGACTTTTAGTGAAAATATCCACATATTGAGTTAGAGAGGGTACATGCAAGACCAAAATTTGACCCAAAGAAAATTTGTCTAGAACAAAATGTATATCAATCTCAATATGCTTCGTTCGTTGATGTTGAACCGGATTGGAAGCAAGATAAACAACGTTGATGTTGTCACAATAAACAATGGTAGCCTTTTGAGGAGAGTGGAATAACTCACGAAGGAGGTTATGTAACCAACATAATTAGCAACACCTCTATATTCAGCTTCAGCACTTGATCTGGAGATGGTACCCTGACGTTTGGAAGACCAAGATAGCAAGTTGTTACCGAGAAACACACAGTTGCCAGAAGTAGAACGTCTGGTAGAAGGGCAACCAACCCAATCAACATCAAAATAAGCAGTAAGATCTGAAGATGAATGGGAGTACAACTGAAGTAAGTTGTAGTGCCTTGAACATAACACAAAACTCTCTTTAGATCGGCCAAATGAGGTTTCCTGGGATCATGCATAAATAAACATAACTGTTAAACAACATAGGTAAGATCCAGGTGTGTAAAAGTAAGATATTGGAGAGCTTCTGCAAGGTTGTGATATGAAGTTGGGTCTTGATAACCACGATGATTGGATGGATATCCGAGGAAAATGCAAGCAGTGGTGCGAGGGGCAAGTTTGTGAGGAGAAGGGATATGAGGGTAACATAGGCAACCAAGCACTCATAAATGAGTATGGGTAGGGTTTTGGTTAAAAAGTTTGTGATAAGGATTATCGTTCTTTATAGAAGTGGAGGGAATGATATTGAGAATGTGGGTGACCATATGAAGGGCTTCAACCCAATATGTGGGTGGAAGGTGGGCATGGAAAAGAAGCGTACGAATGACATTATTTATGGTGCGTAACATACGCTCAGATTTGCCGTTTTTTTTAGAGGTGTATGGTAAGAGAAATGATTATGAATACCATTAGTGGCACAATTTTTTTTTAATTGAAGATTATCATATTCTCCACCATTATCACATTGAAAAGATTAAACATCACTTTTGAATTGCATTTGAATATATGAACGAAAATTAAGAAACTTAGATAACACCACAGATTTATTGCGTAAAGGACAAAACCCACAAGAAATGTCTAAAATCATCCAGAAAAACAACATAATATTTAATACCACTAATACTCTCCACGGGGGAGGTCCAAACATCAGAATGTATAACTTGAAAAGGAAATAAAGAAGTAGGAATAGATAATGAAAAAGGTAGGCGAACCTGTTTGCCCAACTGACATGACTGACATAAGCTAATGTTTTTTTGATTCAAACAAGAAATAAAATTCTTGGAAACTAGATGTTTGAAAACTTGATGTCTTGGGTGACCCAATTGTTGATGCCAAAGAGAAGGAGAAATGGTTGCGAGAGCTTGCGGAAGAGTGGAGGTGACGAGATAGAGGTCACCCGTGCTATCACACCTAAGGAGCGCTTTTTTGGTGCGGTAATCCTTCACATAAAAACCAAAAGCGTCAAATTCATTACTACACTTGTTATCACGGGTAAAACGATGAACAAAAATTAATTTTTTTTTATAATATTAGGAGTGATGAGAATGTTTTTAAGAGTGAGAGTACGATATGGGTTTGAATTAGGAAGAATTGAATGACCCGAACTTTGATTAAGGATTTTAGAACCATCACTGACCAATACATATGAGGGTGAGATGTTTTTGTCACTAATAAAATTAAGTATACCTTCATTGGAGTGGAGGTGCGATGTAGCTCCCGAATTCATATACCATCCCGTAGAGTTAGGATCATTTAGGTGCATGTTATTGGACATATGAGGCATCGATCTAGCTTGATCTGTATTTGAACTCGAGAACCAAGTCCATGGAGGTGAGATGGGTTGCTAATGTGTGGTGTTGAAAGTCGCCTGAAGGGCTGTTGGAAGAGTTGTTCTGTCACAACCAGTAAATTCTATGCTTTTGTAATCATTATCAAGGACAAAATTGTAAACAAAATCTGGAAGCATGCATGATGTTTATTCAATGACAACAAAATTACATCAAAAACTCTATACAAACACTTCAAATGGTCAATGAAAGATTGGAAACCCTAAAAATCCTGGTTTAACTCTGTTATGGACTAGGATTTCCTTATTGGGCCTAATGGGCCAATAAGCTTCCAATTTGACTATTTTGGACTTGGAACCCTTAAATGGGCTCCAATTTAACCCACCTTCATGAGATTTAACATTTGGGCCATATTGGGCCTAAAATGGAATAAACTACTCCAATAAGCCGTATTGGGCCATAACTAACCTAATTAGCTTTAATGGGCCATAAAAGCCATTCTCTCATGCTAATTGGGCCGTGAACCATCCAAAGAAGCCCAATGGGCCGAAAAGTAATTATGGGCCTAAGAAATTCGATCAAAGCTAAGAGGTTAAGCCCAACATCATTCTCTTTATATCTCTATGCCCATTCTCGGCCCAATGAGTAAAAAAAATGTATAATGCAAGAGTGATTAGTGAGGTGCCACCTCACTAATAACCATTAGTCCTACATGCAAAATACACAACATACATCCATAAACTCTCATGTTTCCATGCACCCATCATTTCAAGCTTCTCTCCCCTCTCTTCTTATCTTGGGCCGAGAATCAACACACACACACATTTTATCAAACTCCTTCTAAGTATACATTCAAGAACACCTCTCCTCTTTCATCAAGAAATTTCGAGACTTAGAAGCATTTCAAGGGGGTTTCAACCAAAAATCACTTCAAGTTACACTCTAGTGGTAAGATCTTATAAATCTAAGTAACATACTTTCTTTTTGAACTCATTCATTCTTCTTACCACCTTAATTTCGTGATCATGCTCCCTAGAACCCATCTAAGTTCGAAATCCACTCAAGGAGCTTGCTAGAACCAAAAACAACACCATCTTCTTCCATTCTTCTTCAAAAACCGAGAACAACAAGCAAAGGTGAGTTCATACCCCCTTGTTTTCGGTTTTTACTTGTTTTGGGGGGGGAGGGGGAGAATACAAGTGTTATGTGTTGATCTATGTGTGTTTGCATGTTATATGTGATACCCTTGGTTTGTGTTGTGAAAATCATGTTATTAATTGCTATACTTCGAGATCCATAACAAAAGTGTGAAAGATTCATAAACAAGAACATAACTAACAACATAATACAAAGATCTAATAGTCTTTATGGTTAAAGAAGTGAAAAACAAAGCCAAAGATTTTATAAGGGTCATTTTTGCAAAAATAACAAGGATTTGGTTAAAAGATGACATTTTCGGTTTTTATGAGGGTAATATGGTATTTATTTAAATAAAATCTGATTTTATGAAAATAATACTTTTCAAGGGGTCAAAAATATAAATTTTAGCCTATTGGGCTTAAAATTGGGCCTCACGGATATTTGGGCCCAAAATTTTGAAAATGAAGATGTTTGGGGTTGAAATTGTAAATTTATTAAAGTATGAGTCTAAAATATAAATAAACTATTTTAGGGGCTGAAAATGATCTTTATTGCAAAAAGTTGGACTAAAATGCAAAGTTTTTGGAAATTGGATCTAAAGTGTAAACCTTACGGAATTTGGTCCAAAAGTGTAAATCTTTTCCAATTAAGGGCCGAAAATGTCAAATAATATATTTTGGGCTGAAGTTGTAATATAAATTATAATTGGGCCGAAATTGCAAAGAAAATGATTTAAGGACCAAAAATGTCACTTTTAAAATGCCAGTTTTATTAAGAAAGGGCTGAAAGTGTAACTTTATATGAAAATGGGGCTGAAATGGTCAAATAAATATTTTAAGGTCAAATATGTTGATATTTAAACAATTGGGCTAAACATTAAATTTATAGCATATGGATTTTTAACGATATATATATATATATATATATATATATATATATATATATATATATATATAATCAAAATGTCGTTATAATTCAAACGCCAAGTATTTTAACGTTGTGAGTAAACAATAAGTGCAAAACAAATCGTATACTACAATTTAAAATCGATAAACAATAAATGATTCAATGATTGGGCCCAAAGATCTTATGTTCGTGCTATTGGGTCTTTGTGGCCCAATATCATGATTATTGGGCCCAATATATTTAAACATGTTTATTGGGTCTTGGTGTTCCAATTACATCCCCAATGGGTCTTTGTCAGCTTTAACATGCCATTGGGCCTTAGTGGCCCATTTGCATTGCTAATAAGACCCTAAACGTTCATCATATGCTTAATGGGCTATAGCGTGTCCGTAGCATACTCGACAGTCTATAATAACATACATGATTAGTGGACCACCGTTGTCATCTTTCATCTCTGTTAGGCTTACTTCATATTCACGTAAACATCATTCAGGTTGTAAAACAAGGTTATTCAATTTCATGGGATTTAGTGAGAAATGACGGGTGGTACCAATAAGTGTCGGCCGTAGCCTGTAGTTATAATCAGAGTCTCCTGGAGGGA